ATTAAAAAAGCTCATAAAATCATTACTGCTAAGGGCTAAAGGAATACAAGGCTCAATAGAGCTTTGACTCTCAGTCAGCCTGGCTACAGTGCTGAAAAGAAACCTGGGGTTGTTCTTGTTTTCTTCTATTAATGCTGAGTAATAGTTTGCTCTGGCATTGCGGAGGCCCCTCTTATAAGTTTTGAGACTGTCTGTCCAGATTAAACGAGATTCTTCCAGTTTGGTTAATCGCCAATTCCTTTCAAATTTTCGCGATATTTGTTTTAACCTACGGGTTTGAGAGTTATACCAAGGAGCAAACTTTCTTTGCTTTGTTAACTTCTTTTTAAGAGGAGCTACAGAGTCGAGCGTTGTTCGCAGCGAGCCTACGGCGCTATCAACAAAATGATCAATTTGGGAGAGGTTAAAGTCGGCACGGGAAACCTCTGTTACTGAAGGTATTGGTATTGAATTTAACGACGAAGTAATCTTTTCCTTAAATTTTGTGACAGCACTATCTGATAAACATCTAGTATAGTAACTGTTGCTGAGTGGCGTGTAATCGAGTAAAAAGAAATCAAAAGTAATCAGATAATGATCTGATAGCAAGGGATTCTGTGGAAAGACTTTTAGGTTATCAATTTCAATTCCATACGTCAGAACTAGATCGAGGGTATGGTTAAAACAGTGAGTGGGTTCATGTACACCCTGACTGAAGCCAATGGAGTCTATTAATGAGATAAACGCGGTAGCCAGGGAGTCATTATCAACGTCGACATGAATGTTAAAATCGCCTACAATAATAACTTTATCTGATTTAAGAACTAAACTGGATAAAAACTCTGAGAATTCAGATACAAATTCAGAATACGGGCCAGGAGCACGGTACACTATAACAAATAAAAGTGGCTGCGAGGTTTTCCAGGTCGGATGTAAAACACTAAGAACGAGGCTTTCAAATGAATTATAATCTAGTTTAGGTTTAGGGCTGATTAACAGACTAGAGTTAAAAATGGCTGCAACTCCCCCTCCTCGGCCGCTGCCTCGAGGAATGTGGGTATTATTATGACTGGGAGGAGTGGACTCATTTAGACTAACATATTCATCTTGACACAGCCAGGTTTCAGTGAGACTGAGTAAATCAATATGATTATCTGATATTAATTCGTTTACTAACACTGCTTTAGACGATAGAGACCTGATATTTAACAGTCCGCATTTAATTCTCCTGTTTTGTCTTTCTGTCACAGAAGAGGTTTTAATTTTTATGAGGTTGTTATGCACAACTCCTCTTTGTTTAATTTTAGATTTAAATAATTTAGGTGGTCGGGGGACAGACACCGTTTGTATAAAACTATGAAAACTATGGCTGGGTAACTGAACTAGAAGCTCAGAGAGGCGTTTAGGACTGCAACTCTCTGTCCTGGTCTCAACTCTGGGTTGTCAGGGATTTAAATTACTAATAAAATTTGCCAGGTTCCTAGAAATGAGAGCAGCTCCATCCAAAGTGGGGTGAATGCCGTCTCTCCTAATAAGACCAGGTTTTCCCCAGAAAGTTTGCCAATTATTAACAAAACCCACATCGTTTGCTGGACACCACCTGGACAGCCAGCGGTTAAATGATGACATGCGGCTAAACATGTCATCACTGGTCAGATTTGGGAGGGGTCCAGAGAAAACTACGGAGTCCGACATCGTTTTTGCATATTCACACACCGAGGCAATATTAATTTTAGTGACCTCCGATTGGCGTAACCGGGTGTCATTGCCGCCGACGTGAATAACAATCTTACTGAATCTACGTTTAGCTTTAGCCAGCAGTTTTAAATTTGATTCAATGTCGCCCGCTCTGGCCCCAGGGATACATTTGACTATGGCCGCTGGTGTTGCTAACTTCACGTTCCTCAGAATAGAGCTGCCAATAACCAGAGTTTTATCCTCAGCGGGTGTGTCGCTGAGTGGGGAAAAGCGGTTGGAAACGTGAACAGGCTGGTGGTGAGCCGTGGGCTTCTGCTTGGAGCTGTGCTTCTGGCGAACCGTAACCCAACCTCCCGGCTGAACGGGAGTTACCGGAGGACAGTTAGCTGAGGCTAAGGCTATGCTATGTGGCTCCGCACCGGCTACAGGGGGCTGGCTAACTACCGCAGCTACTGAATGGTTTTCCATGGTGCGGAGCCGCGCTTCTAATTCACTAAGCCTCGCCTCCAACGCAGCAAATAAGCTACACTTATTACAATTACCACTGTCGCTAAAGGAGGCAGAGGCATAACTGAACATTTGGCACACCGAGCAAGAAAGAGCAGAAGGAGAAGCCATCGCTAACTGTAAAGCTAATGTAGCTACCAAGGCTAGTAACGTGCAAACAACAGCTAAGAGATTAGCGAGAAAGTCGTAGAAAGGAGGAGAGCTATAAGTACTTAAACAGAACCACTGTGGGTTAAGACTTGAAGTAGACGTTAAAGCAACTGAAGTGAGAAAGCAGGCTAGCAGAATTCACCAGAGCAGTACAGAGACGCTGTCACAGAAACACCGGAAATGACACAACTCGCTTACCACAATACGTCAGCACCACCGCAATACGTCAGCAACTAGAAAGCTCATACTGTAGTACCCTATTATCTTACCAGATCACTGTACTCTGAGAATGCAGGTTTGTGGTTCCTAAAGTTTTCAAAAGTAGAACAGGAGCTAGAGCTATTAGCTATCAGGCTCCTCTTCTGTTGGATATACACATCTTCTGCAGGACGACTTCCTATGATGCACTGAACCCTTTCTCTCCTTCTCTCTCTCTCTCTCTCTCTCTCTCTCTCTCTCTTTATTTGCTAACACACAATGTGTTACTGCATTTCACTAACTCAGCTTCTCCAAAGCCTTTGTGCTCTACTGTCTTGCAGGTTCCCTCAGATTTCGGATGTGCCCGCATCATGAGTCACGGATGCGCTGCTGCCATGGTTTTGCGTGATGCCTACTATGACTGCTATTTTTATTAGTCATACTTCTACTATTATCATACACATAATTATTATTGTCACATGCATATACTATCATATATAAATATGTATACAACATATATACCATCATTATTTAGCTAGCAAGCTAACATCTTGCTTACATTAACTAACTTAAGGTGTGACTATATGTAAAGTAATGTGTCTGTGAAGATTCTAACAGTCCCCCAGCCAAATATTTTAACGATCTTCAAAATTTGGTTTTCTTTTCAATAAAGACAAGGCTAGCGCAGAGCATATTTAAGTAGGCTTTAACAGGAAAGGGGAACGTTCCAAGGCAGCTCAAATGTTATTGGAGAGCAAAGCGAAAAGGGGTGGGACTTAGGAAGGGTCAGTTAGACCACACCAGTCCCTGTGCACACTTTCAGAACCAATACACAAGACTGTAATTGTAATGATAATTGAAAGTCCAAGTGGGGCAGGTGGTTGGGGTGGTGTATGGGTTCAACAAACACCGACTTTCACCCCAGAGAGCAGTGTTCCCATCCCGTAAGATTCTAGAGCCAAACCCTATTCTTTTTTCCTAAACCTAACCATGTGTCTTTGTTGCCTAAACCCAACCATGTGTGTTTGTTGTTGAAGGAAAAATAAAGTCAATTTATGGTGTTGTACCAACATAGTGTGTTTATTTTGAAAGAGACTGTATGTAAATGTAAAATTTCCTGTGAAAACTGAAGTGTATCTTGAAAGAAGAGAATTTGACACGGTGTCTCAGACTGTCAACAACCAACGCACCCAGGGTACCTGCATGTTGAATGTGGACGTGGAAAGTCCATGACCACAAACATCATTATACAACAGTTAGTTCCGGCCCTGCAATCCGATTGGTCGAGAGACAGTAAAATCGTGATGATATTGGAGTACAACATCACGGTTATTTCACTGTGTATGTATCACTCCGCCTCACAGCTGATTGCAATCAACAATCAAATCAAAACTGACGGTTAGTGTCAGTTAGGTCAGCAGTTGCGTTGTAGGCTAATTAATTCATCCACTGTCAAACAGCCAAAAATATGGATTTATTTCCTAAAATAAGTTTTGAATTGAACTATGAATGGTCATCAGAGGAAGATGAGGGAGAGGAGAAGCTGAATCCATCTGAGCACACATCCAGGTTTGTCAGTGTTTCATCAGCGGAGCTCAATGACTTGGAGAAAAGCAATATACTGTCAGATCAAAAGGCAGAGTCGGCTGTGCCTGTGAAGCGACAGTCCACCATGCAGTCACCAGAGACTTATTTCATTGGCTGCACAATTAATGGAAACGTGCAGATGTGTATAAAGAGTAAGTACCTGGTGCACCATGTCTGCGTTACATAGCAACGGTGACAGCTGAGTCCTGAGGGAACTATTTTTTTTGTCTGAAGACAAATAAAATGCTTAAATTATCTATTTTGTCCTCATTTTTCAACATTTCTTAATCAGCCTTGCTTATTTAACTGTTGAACTGTTGTATAAAAGCAATATCACACTCGAGCTTGTGATGTTGTACTGTGATATCGTCACGGCTGTGACTGTCTTCGGCACTCAGCCTATGGCCTCGTGCCTACGACCGAATCAAAGCCGTAACAATATCACAGTACAACATCACTCCCTCTCGTGTAATATTGCTTAAATATGAGGTCAAGGACGGAGTCAGAATGTGTTGGACATGCTAACAAGGCCAACATGATGTTTTTAGGCAGAAATTGACAGAGATCATATTATGCTAGCCTCTTGAAATTTGACAATTCCATTGTTAAAATATTAACAGTGTCAGGGTGGAAAGTGAATTTAGACCATGACGCCTAATATGATCAAAATCAGTTGATGCTTATTGAAAACAAATACAGTAATGGAAATTGCTTCAACAAAATGAAAAAAAAAAAACCAAAAAAAAACCAAAAAACAGATCATATCAGCAGTAGTGAATGCAAGAATTGGATATCTGAAGTTTTACAGGAAGTGGCATTCAGCTGCACACTTAGCACATACACAGAGCTGACGAGATGGATACTAAAACCCACACACTCACCCATTCCTTTGGTGTGGTTGAAGTCTCCCCTCACTATCTTACAGGAGCGTGCATCTCCATTGCAAACACCACAGCGGTCCTCTTTAGCTGAAGAGCCGATGATGCTGTCACAGCCAATTTTCTGATGACAACAAAACAGTGACAAAACAACAGTAAAGCAAAAGTCAAATGAGTTTCATTTGTAATGCACATTGCACATGTGTGTGTGTGTGTTTGTCGATATGAGTGTGTCTTTTGTGTAAATCCTAATTTCCTAAAGTTTAGCTTGTCCTATTGTCACATGTAGTTCAGTCACCTATCAGTAGGTGGTGTTAAAACTTCTCTACCTCAACAATTCTTGACTTCCTTCAGGAAGGACTGACTTGTTGATGGACTCAGTCTTTTACAATTCAGTTTTCCTGATAATACCAAGCTATAAATGAGCCATAAATGTATCAATGAAGAGCTGCTGAAGAGATGTTTAACTGCATGTTACAATTTCTGGCCACTGAAGCCATGAATTTTCTCAGTGCCCTTGCAGTAATCCATAATGTAAGGGCACACAGGGCATATGCCTGCAGCCCTGGAGTCACTGTGTAGCGGTTCGACCTATTTTAAAGTCAGTCTGACAGAACCCCACAAAAGACACATGCATGTAAGAAGATGAATAAACACATGAACCCTAATAAACTAAATTAAATACACAAAACCCAGATCATGAGGCACAATCAGAAATAACTCAAAAACACAGGGCAGCTCATTTTCCAAATGTATTCACATAAATTAACACAAAAAAACCCAGTTAAGTCCATTTTATGAGTCCATTACTTGAAGAGAAAAAAATAGTCACACAAATCTGGGTAGTCCCGTTCACCCAGGGCTCAAAACCACTCCGGGATTTCCCGACTCCCTGCATAATAACAAGGAAATACTGAGCTGTATTGCAGTACACAGTTTAAGACAGCATTTTCCAAAATCACTACCCCACTGCACGCGTCATAGTCATGTCAAAAAAAGAGAACTATTTTTAGCGGACTCATGTTTAGCCCTGGAGTTTGAGAATAATCTGAAGATTTTACTTGGACGGATCTCAGACGATTTGGGCTGGATGACACAACGAATCACTCCCCAGCACATGTCGCCACCACAGGCCGAAGAACAGAGATCGGCCAGCCGAACACACCAACACCTCCATCTGGTCCTTCCTAAAGACTGTCTCCGCCATACTCCTTCCCTGGCACATTTAAAGGACACGCCAGAGAAGAAGATTCGCTGGAAGCGGGTGATTCGTCACCAACCCATTGGTTGCCTGGGTGTGGGAGTGTTTCCCAATAATAACCAGCTGACAGCTTGGCAACCAACTGACAGCTGGTCTGACAGATGTTTATCCCAGTGTTTGTGCCAGGGCGATCACCACAACTGGACCTCAAGGATTTTACTTTTGAAGAAATTCATACAGACACTGCAGGAATCTATGAAAGGACACCCATTAACCCCCTTCCATCAATAATAAATAAAGCTTTCATCCTCTGATTTGGGTGTCTCTGAGGTGAAATGATCCATGTCAGAACTTGGGTTATCAGATCGCGACAGAACACACCTTCAAGCACATCATCAGAGTGACTAAAAACACTACTGGATTTTGGATTTCAGTCAGAGAGTACCACGAGTGGATACTGTGGAAGAACAAATGAAATGTGTTGACAGCATATGTTTTGCAGTTTTGGCTGCAAAACATATTGGGCTGTAGTTTCTCGGCGCGGCACAGGGTGGCGCAGGGTACCGAACCCCTCGCAGAGCTAGTTTCGAGGAGTGCAACCCGAGGCGCGCTCAGTTTGGTAGTTTGGCAGACTGAGGTGTGCTGAGATGGGTGTGGCGGTACAGCAGGGGGAAGTGTCGACAGATCCAGCTTGGAGCAGTGACAGTTTCGTGCCAAAAGGCTCCGCTGAAGGTGCACTAAAAGCTCGCCAGCTCAAACCAGGTCTACTGTCAGTGCAGGGGGAGCGCAGCCGGTGTAAGTGGAAGTTTGGCTGACTGGCGGACAGTGCGCACACGTCACCAAAACCTCACAGGCAGGTTTCCAGAATGTCAGGCACATTAACGATGCAATAAATACCCACAAAAACCACTATTCAATGCAACTATCTACAATCAGCACATAAATGTATCTCTATATCGACTGTTCCGTCACATCTGACGTCAGATCAAAGGGGATTGGCACCGTTTGGCACGTTTGGCATGCATAATGGAAACCCAACCTGATTTGATTAACACAGCTGCAAACTACTGAATTCACATCCCTCTCAGCCAACCACAAACAGCCACAGCATCAGATAGGGAGTATATATTCAGCATCTGTCATCTTAGAAAAGTCAAAAGAAAAGAAACAGAGTGAGACTGCGAGAGAGAAAGAGAGAGCGTTCACGCACAAGATCATCATCATCACGAGAGAGCGCAGGTGCGCTGTGCCTCTGTCTCACCCGGTCTGCGAAACTAGAGGCCCTTGACACATCCAACAGTGACTATCAGGGAGAGGAAAGCATAGCGGTTGGGGTCAGATGCTTTGAGTGGGGGAACCGCATGTCATAAGGAAAACGGAGGCCCTAGCAGAGAATACTATAGGATTTGGTAATGGACCTTAAACTGACCCCATGGAGAGACAAATAAGGAGGAACAGGAATTTCCTAGGACAACAGAGAGGTGTGATCACATAGAAAAGAAAAATAATTACTCTTACAGATAGGGGGCAGTAACTGCTGACAGGTTTTAGTACAAAGCTTGGTAGCTTGCTTGCATGGAACCCTGTCCAGCTCAGTCAGACCTTCAGATACCAACCAGACAGTCTATTTTCATAACTTCACTGAATATATTCCTTTCCCCTTTTCCTGTCTGCTTCCTCTCTTTATTTTCTCTCTCCCCTTGCCAGTGTTTTCATAGCATGCCTGAGTCTCGCATGCCAGGCTTAGAAAAACACCCATGCCTCCTCCTCCCTCTGTAACCTCAGTATCTGCCTAAGTCTCTTTGTCTGCAGCTCACATCCTCCAACTCTTCTGTTTCTTCTCCCTTGAAGGTGGAAGTCAGAACCAGTGTTCAGTGTGGAATGTTTTCGCAGAGTCAACCAGACTGGGTTGGTTTGTATAAGATAAGATAAGATAAGATAAGATAAGATAAGATAAGATACACCTTTATTGATCCCATAATTGAGAAATTCCAGTGTTACAGCAGTTAAGGAGAAAGAGTCAGATTAAAGATTTCAAAATTAAACTTAAAAAAACTTAAATAACTAGGCATGCAAATAAGTACAAAAATACAAGAGACGGCGATAAATAACAATAACAATAATAATAATAATAATAATAATAATAATAATAATAATGAAAATAATAGGAAGTGGATAATAATGAGCAGCAGTGAATGAGGGAGCACATCTAGTGCAAGTGATTGTATGTGCAAAACAGCAGACAGCTGTGGTGTCCATAAAGTGTCCATAGTGTCAATAAAGTGTCAATAAAGTGTCAATAAAGTGTCCATGGTGCAGTCTACTGTGAGCAGTGCTGGTTATGTAGTCTGACAGCAGCAGACAGAAAGGACCTGCGATAGCGTTCCTTCACACACTTTGGGTGAATCAGTCTATTGCTGAAGGAGCTCTCCAGAGCTTTTATCTCCTCCTGCAGAGGATGGGAGTCATTAGTCCTCAGAGATGACAGCTTGGCTGTCATCCTCCTTTCTCCCACCACCTGCACAGAGTCCAGAGAGCATCCCAGGACAGAGCTGGCCTTCTTGATCAGCTTGTCCAGTCTCTTCCTATCTGCAGCCGAGACGCTGCTGCCCCAGCAGACTACTCCGAAAAAGATGGCTGATGCAACCACAGTGTCAAAGAAGATCTTCAGGAGCGCCTCCTGCACTCCAAAAGACCTGAGCCGCCTCAGCAGGTAGAGTCTGCTTTGGCCTTTCCTGTACAGTGCTGTTATGTGGTTAGTCCAGTCCAGTTTATTGTTAAGATGAACACCCAGGTACCTATAAGATGTCACCATCTCAATGTCCTTTCCCTGAATGTTCACCGGTGTTGGGGGGAGGAGTCTGTGCCTGCGGAAATCCACCGTCAGCTCTTTGGTTTTCCCCGCGTTGATCTGAAGGTGGTTCCTCAGGCACCAGTCCACAAAGTCCTGGTTCAGTTCTCTGTACTCCCTGTCGTCCCCATCTGTGATGAGGCCGACGATGGCAGAGTCGTCAGAGAACTTCTGCAGATGACAGGTGGGGGTGTGGTATGAAAAGTCTGCAGTGCAGAGGGTGAAGAGGAACGGTGCCAGCACCATCCCCTGCGGGGCTCCCGTACTGCAGACAACCAAGTCCGATACACAGTCCTGGGTCCTGACATACTGTGGCCGGTCCGTGAGGTAGTCCAGGATCCAGGATGTGAGGTGATTAGCCACACCTATGTGCTCCAGTTTGTCCCTCAGAAGCGCAGGCTGTATGGTGTTGAAAGGGCTGGTGAAATGAAAGAACATGATTCTCACAGAGCTTCCAGGCTTCTCCAGGTGGGAAAGAGCTCTATGCAGGAGGAAGATGATGGCGTCTTCCACCTCAATGCCAGGCTGGTATGCAAATTGCAGCTGGTCCATTGAAGGGCCTACTGCGGGGCAGAGACGAGACAGGACCAGGCGCTCCAGAGTCTTCATGAGGTGCGATGTTAATGCCACCAGTCTGAAGCTGCTGAAGTCCTTGGGGTGCGGAGTCTTTGGCACAGGTACAATGCAGGATGTCTTCCACAGCTGTGGTACTCTCCCCAGCCTCAGGCTCATGTTGAAGATGGTTTCAGCTATCCCGCACAGTTGGTCTGCGCAGGACTTCAGGAACCTGGAGCTGATGCCATCTGGACCCGCAGCCTTCCTCGTCTTTATCCTCCTCAGCTGATCTCTCACCTGACAGGTAGTGAAGGACAAGATGGAGCAGGGGGGCTGTGTGCTTAGGGGTGGGGGTGATGAGGTGGGGGGAGGGGTGGGGGGTGGTGAGATGTCCGGGGGAGCGGGGGTGGGGGAGGTGTCGAAGCAGTGTGCCAGGAGTGTAGGTGGGGGGGGGTGAAGGTGAGGATGGGGGGGGTTGCAGCCAGGGGAGAGGCAGACTGATCAAATCTGTTGAAGA